ATTATTCAATGACAAGGAATAAAAACCGGGAAGAACTTACTTCTTGTTGAATCTCTGAAAATGGGTAGCACTTCTCTTGTCCTTTACCTTTTCTTGCAATTAATACCAGGGGCAAACACATCTCTTGGGAGCTGCATTGCCAGAAAAACAGTAAAATACCAAAGTAAGTGAAAACCCATCATTTCAGAAGCAGAAAAAAAAACCCATAGCACAGTGTTGGGAGTTTATTTCTTGTTAGGCAGAGAAGGAATGAAAAATGCCTGAAATGTAGTAATTGTAGCTGGAGGTTCTGGCTTATAGGTAATAATAATAGTACTGTTTCTTTTCCAGTAACAAATTGGGAAAAGAATATCCATGCATTTATTGAAATACTTTAATATTATTTAGAAAATAACCTAGGAAGGTGTATAAGCTTTTACCCTTGTTACATTGCAAATTATTTTCAACTTGGAATTTTTATGACATAACACTGTTTCTAGTGATAACTACTTGTCAAGTAACTCACATACTGTGTTTTACAGATGGAAGTAAAAACACTTTTATGAACGAAGGTTTATCCAACATTTCTACTCTCCTTGTGGATGAAGAAACTGATACCTTATTTGTTGGAGGCAGAGATGCAGTATTTGCTCTTGACTTGAATAATATTTCTAGAGAAATATCCAGGGTAAATTAAAGACTTTTTATTCCCCCGTGCCTTCTTTTAAAAAAAGACCTTGCCTTCAGTTTTCTTCATTTGAATCTAATGTTCTGATTTGAAATGTTAAAAATATTGTTATTTCAAGGCTTGAAATTTTATCACAATCTTTTTAAGCAAAGCAATACTTCTTCTGGGGTTATTTATGCCTTGAATGTTCTGGAGATACAAAGGAAAATGCTTATCTACCCAGTACATTTAAAGTTAGAACTGTTTGGTGATATTTTACAGATAAGTTTGTGAAAAAATATTGCCACATACCAGTGTACATGTTTTTGGCTTTTAGGAATACTGGTTTGCTCCACAGGAAAGACAACTGGAATGCATCCATAGAGGAAAGGAAAAGGTAGAAACTTCTATTTCCCCCTCTAAATTCTTACCTACAATGAAAATGGCTGCAGCATCGAGCTGCTTCTCAAGGAATGGAGTAAAAGCAAATTCATTTCAATCTGTTGGGTTGGTTTCCTTGCTCCTAAGGCACCAGGATATTTTTCAGATCCATGGGACAGCAATGTGCCCTTGTGGCCAAGAGAGCCAGTAGTATCCTGGAATACATGAAGAACAGTGTGGCCAGCAGGTCAAGGGAGGTTCTCCTCCCCCTGCTCTGCCCTAGTAAGACCACATCTGGAGATTTGTGTCCAGTTCTGGACTGCCCAGGATGTGCTGGAAAGAGTCCAACACAGGCTACAGGGGTGATGAAGGGACTGGAACATCTGTCATATGAGGACAGGCTGAGAAACCTGGGGCTGTTTAGTCCTGAGAAGACTAAGAGGGGACCTTATTTATGTCTATAAACATCAGCAGGGTAGATGACAAGTTTCCTGCTCAGTGGTGCCTGTGATAGGATGAGGGGAAATGGCACCAAGTGGCAACACAGGGAGTTCCACTTCAACATGAGAAGAAACTTCTTTTGTGTGAGGGTGAGGGAGCCCTGGGACAGGCTGCCCAGAGAGGCTGGGGGGTCTCCTTCTCTGGAGACTTTCAAGACCCATCTGGACACGTTCCTGTGTGTCCTGCCCTAGGTGTTCCTGCTGCAGCAGAGGGGTTGGACTCGATCTTCAGCGGTCCCTTCCAATCCCTCTGATTCTATTACTCTATGATTCTGTGTTTCTATGATTTTATGATTCTATGTAAATATTTTTTTTTGTATTGTCTATTTTAGATAAGATGCCAGAACTACATCCTCTTCCTCCACAAGATAAATGACTCCAACCTCTACGTTTGTGGAACCAATGCCTATCACCCAACTTGTGATCACATGGTAATTGTGTTTGAACACAGGTTTTACTGAAGGTGTCTGAGTGATACAGCAGGTTCTGGAGCACCTTCCTTAGAACATTCCTGTTGACAATTAGAAACTTTCAAAATTCTTTTATAAAAGTATATGAAAGACCTGAAAAGTACTTATTAAACATTTGGAGGGGGGGGGTATTGTATTTAAATTATTTTTTGCCACAGGTTATCCATGGAACAAACATGAGCCTGCAAGGAAGAGATGAAGAGGGCAGAGGGAAGTGCCCATTTGAACCAACTCTAAATTATGCCTCTGTTTTTGTAGGTATGTTTGGACTGATATGCAACCTGAGATGCTTTTCCCCACCTAAAATAAGCTATTGGAAACCATTACCCTAATTCTATCTTTGCATGTCAGCCCCAGATTGTTACTTATGATAGGCTTTTGCATTTTAAAAAGAAGTATTTTACACTTTTTTTGTTTCATCCAAATCTTTCTAAGATGGGGAATTTTATTCAGCCACTTCAAATAACTTCTTGGGAACAGAACCCATAATACTCCGCAGTATGAGAAACCCAGTGAGAACAGAGTTCACAACATCGTGGCTAAATGGTAAGACGTTTGTTTCTGTATTTGAGTCTCTTGAACTTGATTTTGGTGTGTGGATTTCTCTCCCAGGTGAGGGACTTTTTTCAAGGGCTTGTTGTGGGAGGACAAGGGGTGATTGATCAAAACTGAAAGAGGGGAGATCTAGGTTGGACATGAGGAAGAAATTCTGGCGTGTGAGGGTGGTGAGAGCCTGGCCCAGGTTGCCCAGGGAAGCTGTGGCTGCCCCATCCCTGGCAGTGTTGAAGGGCAGGTTGGATGGGGCTTGGAGCAACCTGGGCTGGTGGGAGGTGTCCCTTCCCATGCAGGGAGGCTGGAACTAGATGATCTTTAAGGTCCCTTCCAACCCAAACCAGTCTGGGATTCTATGATATGATTCGATGAATTCTCTCTAGAATGTAGCAGGATGTTATGGGTTGATTTTGTAGTGTGAGCTTTTGAACTGAGAACAGAATTGAAAGGAGCTCTGTGACTGCAGGCAGCAGTGATGGGATGAGCCACAGCTCTGTGTAGGAAACCACAGTTCCTGCTCTTCATGTTTCATAGATTCATAAATACTTTTCAGCCCTTTCCTTGTCCCCTAGTCCACAGAACAGTTCAATTAGACTTAATTTTAAAATAATATCTGGCTTTTATGTTTTTCTTGGAATAAACTCCCAACTGTGTTTGTATTTATGTGTTTCAGAGCCAAGCTTTGTCAACATGAAAATAGTGCATGAGAGTGAATCCAGCCCAACTGGAGATGATGATAAAATTTATGTGTTCTTCACTGAAACAGCTGTTGAATTTGAATTCTATGACAAGGTTTTGGTGTCCAGAATTGCCCGGGTCTGCAGGGTTAGTATTTGTAGTAGAAAGATTTTGGGTGGTGTATTTCAGATGAAGCTTCCCAGTCAGCACTGGTATCTCCACTGGCTCACCAAACAGAATTCTGTCATACACGTTTTATTTCTGAAATATATTCCTCTTTTTCCTGCTAGAAGAGAACCAGCTGTTCAGGTTGCATTTGAAATTCTTTTCTTTGCCATGAACTGAGCTTTGTACTGAAAGGCCAGCTCTGTTCCTCCCCACAGCAACAGGAATTAGGTGAAAATCCCATCTGTGTCTTCGTGCATCTCTCAGTGCTGATGTTCTTCCCCCATCCAGGGTGACCTCGGTGGAAAACGCGTATTGCAGAGGAGATGGACGTCGTTTTTAAAATCCCACCTTGCCTGTTCCCTTCCAGAATTAAACTTCCATTTCAACATTATCCAGGACATCTTTTTCCTTAGAAGAAGAAGATGGCAGGACAGCATATTTTATGGAATTTTCTCCCAGCAATGGTAAGATAGAGGGCTACATGTGGTACTGATGTTTGTCATGAGCTGTGGGAAGGTTTTTACCCCAGCATGAAGATCCCCAGTGGAGCCTTTAGCTTTACGTCAGCTACCACTGACCTGCACTGCATCTTCTCATGGGCCACATTTGATTTTCTTACAGCTTGATCCAGCTGAGCAAACACTATCATCAGAAATAAAATATTTTTGGTTCCTGGGCCAAAGCCTTCAATTATAGCCTAACCAAAAGCTTCTTCAAAGCCAAGCTTTTCATTGTGCTTTCTCTAGTAGGATGGTGGGGCAATTAAAATGGATTACATATAAAATTGTGTAATTACATACAGAAAGGCTTGGATTCTTCTGGTCTTTATAGCACTTAAGGAAATCACTGACATTTCATGGTGCAGAATTATTCTTCTGCTCCAAAAGAAGTATCTGTCATGGCCTGCTTGTCTAATGCAATGTTCTCTGGAAATGGAAGCAGAACTCTGAGCAGATAGCTTGCAAGTTTTAGAATCAACTACCTTTTCCTTAATGCTCTTGCTAAAGAAAAACAAGACAACACTTTACATGACAGAAAATACCAGTGACAAGGTTGTAGGTAATTCTCATGTTTTATAAAAGCACCAGAATTCTCAGAATGCAGCTCGGTCAGCACTGTCCAGCTTAACCTGCTGCCACCTCTGTACCTGTCAGATTGTACCCACTGGAGCTTCTGTGAGTCTTATTTCTAGTTATGACAGGTTGGGTTCAATGTGTCCTAAGACAGGAATTTGTAGAACATTTATTCCTTTAGATGTGGCAAAGAGACTTCAGCTTGGTATTTACTGATGGAACTGAAATGACATCAGTGTCTGATGCAGACACCCCTTAGACTCTGCCTAAATTTTCATTATTCTGAAAGGCTTTCTAATTGGAAGTAAGAGGAAAATTGTGTAGTTTTCAGTAAGATGAGTTAAAAGGGTTAGAAGAAGAATTAATGGCCTCCAAATGTGGAGTCAAAGGGAGGGGAATCCTGTCAAAAGGTTGATTACCATAATAATTGGGCTGGTCTGTCTGTTTACTAGAAAGATTGTCAGAAGTTCCTCATTCTCTAATTGTTTCAATTTATTTGAAGGTGGTTACTTGTTTTTTTTTGATTTAACATAATTAAATCCATCTTGTATGAATGTCTTTGTTTTATTGTCAGTGAATCATGATTCACATTCTCTGAATCAGTCTTTTTAGTGTTAGGTATTTTGACTAATCTTGAAAAAGACACAGCAGTGTGCACTGTGGAGATTGGGTGATTTCAAAGTGTTTCTATATAAAAGCAAATAAAATTATCTTTTATTTTGTGTGGGTTTTGGTTTGTTTCTTCCATTGTTTTTTTTCTTCTCAGGGGAAGATTAGACATCTCAGCTGTGTGTGCATACAGTATGAAAAACATCCAGGAAGTCTTCTCCAAAGGAAGCTACAAAGGACCAGTAACTGCAGAACATTCCCCTGTTCAGTGGATGGTGTACAGAGGGGAAGTGCCAGTTCCACGTCCTGGTGCTGTAAATATTCATTTACTTGTGCTGATTCAATGAACAGCCTCTGGATTATCTTTTTTTTTGGTAGCAAATCATTAGCTCCTGTTTTACCAATCTAAATGCAGTGTTTATTATCAGCAAGGAGATACCTGCTTTCTCATTCCATCCTAGGAGGGATCCTAGCAAAGCTGCCTCACTTACAGTTCCCTCCACAAGATAGGTGGGGTTTTATCTAGTTCATAAAATGTGAGGAAAATAATTATTTCTATCTTTTGAAGACCAGTAGAAAAACAATGTTTAGAAGGAAATACACCTTTGTTATATACCCAAGTGAAATGTTCCAGTACTTCAAGGGTGGCTACCAAGAAGATGGAGACTCCCTATTTACAAGGAGTCACATGGAAAGGACAAGAGGTCATGGGCACAAGCTTCTCCTGGGGACACAAGAGGTGAATTTTTCACCATGAGGACAGTCAGACATTGGAATAGTCTGCCAAGGGAAGTGGTGATTTCCCCCAAATTGGACAGTTTTAAGTCTCAGCTTGAGCCAGTACCTAGAAAGGCTGGAGCACATGGTCCTTGAGGTCCCTTCCAGCCTGGCATTCCCTGATTCTACGTAAGAGCAATTGTAACGATGTGTGTCACATTTTGTTTCTAGTGCATTGATGATCTTGCCCGGACTGTTGGGTATAACACCTCTGCTGACCTGCCTGACAAAGTTCTGCAATTTGTTAGAGATCACCCTCTGATGGATGATCCAGTCAGTCCCATTGGCAATGGCCCAGTGCTCCTGAAGAGAGGTTCCAACTATACCAGGATTGTGGTAGACAGAGTCACTGGCCTAGATAAAGAAACCTATGATGTTATGTTTCTAGGAACAGGTAAGTGCTTTTTTGTTAGGAAACAATACATTTTTCTGTATTTTGTTCCAGAGTTTTTTTCTGAAACTTCAAAAAAGTTAAAGTATTAATCAGCTATGTTTGAAGTTTTGCATTTAGAAGCTGCCTTGCTAGTTTAATATCTTCATCCCAGTTAGATTAAATGTGTTTGCCTTGTTGGATGTTAAGAGGTTCCTTTTAGAAACTTTCCATATCAAAGGAAACTTGACATAATAGTATTTGCAAATTCAGGGATTGTTTGAGGTCTTTTTTCCCCCCCTGAAAAAAAAATAATAACTGCTTCTCTTGTATTGGGAGAAAAAATAAGAATTGCTTTGAAGAATTTCAGAAATTCTCTCTGCCCAGGAATGTCTGCTAAATTTCTATCTAATTTCAACATGAATTATCAGGCTAAAATGTTACGCTGTGTTTAAACAAGTTTATCTTAAAAAATACATTTTCTTTTATGTAGATGATGGATATTTGCATAAAGCTTTGAGTTGTGATGGGGAAATGTTCATTGTGGAAGAGCTGCAGCTGTTTCTGTCTCCTGAGCCTGTACAATCTCTTCAGCTGTCTCCTAAAAAGGTACAGCTTCTGTCCCTGCACATGGAAAGTGACTTCTTCCCTCAGGCCTTGCTCTTCTGTTGTGTTCTTCTGGCTTTTAAATAGCCTGAAAATGTTTCATAATCCTTCTTCTATCATGTATTTGTTAATAAAAGAAGCACAAAACTTGTTTTGGGGTTTTTTTTTTTAGAAGGTGAATTTGTGTGTGTCAAAATACAACTGAAACAAGCCTTTGTGTTCATTAAAAAATGAGGGAAGGAACTTCAGATGTTTTACATGCTGTGGGAAGCCAGGGGGTGTTTCTCATTCATGTCACACTCTGTTCTTACCAGACTTCTGGTTCGCTGACTGTTGTTGGGGTTTTTGTTATGAATACCAGAAAATCTCATGATCCATATTAGTAAATAACAGCTTAAAGTCTCATACCAGATCTCCCTCCTAGGGAATGCTCTATGTGGGATCCCAGTCTCAGGTGGTGCAGCTTCCCGTTGCCGAGTGCCACCGGTACAAGGGCTGCTTGGATTGCATCTTGGCACGGGATCCCTACTGTGCCTGGGCTGGGGCTGCTCAGAGATGTGTCCCCCTGGCACACCCACCTGCTGAGACCCAGTAAGTGCAGAGAAGTTGTTTCAGCTGCACTGCTAGTGGCTGTAACACAAAACTAGGATGATTCCTAGAAATGGAAGGACACAAGCCAGAACACTTCTTGTCTGTGTTTTCATCTGTTTAGTTTGGGGGTTTTTCTCTTGTTTTTTTCTTTTCAGGAATTTAATTCAAAGTGTGAAACACGGGGATGCTTCCAGCTGCCTTAGTGTAGGTATGTGAGTGTTTTGTTTTGAAGAAAGAATATTTTAACTTCATGAGATCAAAATGTTTTGTGCTCACTGGAATGTTTGCATTATAGAAAACCACAGAATTTAAATCATGTTGATGATTACTTTTGAACTAAGCCCAAAAAAATGCCTGCTTTGAGCTGGTCCTGCCTAGTGCTCTTAACTCTCTCAATGGAAATGAGTATGGTTTTGTAAGTTCGACTAAATTCCCAGTGTTCTTACTTAAAAAAGCCATTATCTTCATCATTTCAGAAAACAGTGTGAGAAAATACCTCTTTACCCTTGGAAACAATGTTCATCTGCAGTGTGTCCCTCTGTCCAACCTGGCAAGTGTGGTGTGGAAGTTCAATGGGAGCAGAGTTCAGGCTGAGGACTCCAAGTATCTCCTCTACGATGGAGGAATAGCAGTTCTGAACGTGACGATGGATGCAGCTGGATCCTATGATTGTGTCTCAGTAGAGAAATCCAAAGGGAAGGAATTCCTTACCACTGTGGCCCGCTATGCCCTTTCTGCCCAGGAAAAGACAGAGGAAGCAGATGTTGCCCCAGCAATTAAACGTGGTGGAGCAGGAGATGAGGAGGGTTTTCAGTCTTCAGTGCCTGCTACAGGCACAGAGAAACATGACTCAGTGGGCAGCCAAAGGGAGAAGCTTGTTTTAAAACTCCTGGGGGTTGGGTTTGCTCTGAATTTCTTTCTTTTGTTGGTTTGGAACTTTTACAAGGGTCATTTATCTCTGCCTTGGAAGAGCAGCAAAACCAGCTCCGTAACCACTGGCACAGCTGGTTTGGGAGGTCAAGCAGTGGCTCCAGAGGGATCAGGCAGTGAAAGGAAGAGTTCAGCCACACAAACCAGCATGTCCTGTGTCGATCACATCATTGCTCCTGAGCCTTCCCCCAGGAGAGAAGTGGAAATGCAGAGCAGTTCACATTTCCCTGGGAGTTCTGAGAGCTTTCACCTCTCCAAGCTGTTTGGTTCAGATGGTTCTTGTTAAGGAATGTGGAATGTAAATTTGGTTAGGAATCAGAAGCTCTGAATTGAAGATTCCAAGCTGCTTTGTGTATTACAGAGATGTGTTACCAGTTAGTACTTTCAAAAGCAAAATTCCCTGTTTGGGTACCTTTTTGACCCAAGAGAACCATAAAAATACATTTATTTTGATAATTGACACTGATCCACTTTCTTGTAATGTTGGGGTTGCCCAGTTACAGAAATTAATA